AAAAAAAAAAAAAAATCAATAACCCATTTGAACAGGTGCATACCCTAAAAACATATAAAATGGCTTGAGGATCACATTTGCACTTGGGTTCAAAGCACCCATAAAAAATAACCTTAAGGAAGGTTAAAAAGCGGGCAGATCTGCAAACAAGAGCTGATGACAACTTAAATTGAAGCAACGTGGATGGCATCTGATTGATCATGTAGGTGGTTGTCTGCTCAAAGAACAATGTCAATTTTCTTTTAAGTAATCCTTTGCATTATATGGAAAGTCTTGATTCTTTTTCAAGTTGAGTTTCCAGTTTCCACCATACCATAGAAATGTTTAATAATTTGTGGAACTTCATCTATTATGCAATACAGATAAAGCCAAGTTTAATGTGAAGAGTCATCTAAAGAAAGAAGAAAAATACCAGTAGCCACCCATAATGGGAAAATAGTAAGGCCTCTATATACTAATGCACAAAATAAAGAAACATAAGTTCTTTAATCACTTGGAAAATATGATCTACAATGTTTGATAAGCTGACACACTTCATACTGAAACTCAATGGAGAAATTGACGTAGATGACCAAATAAGTAGAAGAGACAAGAAAAAATATGGCCAAGTCAAATATACCACAACACAACTTCACAACCCAAGCTTCATTAATTGAAGACCATGACTTTGTTAAGATCGCAAGATGATAGGCTATAGATTATTTAGGTGGACAATAAACAACAATAAACCTCATTAACTTTATGACCACTTCCAACCTTCCTCTTCTGATAAATCAAAAAAAAAAAAAAAAAACTCCTGCCCACATCCTAGAAATAAGATTGGTGGTTAATATGGGGACATGAAAGAATAAAGACGAGTGATATTGTCACAAAGCTTTTTTTCTTGTTAATTTTTTTTTTTGCTATTACATAGCACACAATGCAGGGGAATCAGGGGTGGTGAAAGAGCACGGTGCACGAGGCCCACTGGCCATATCATAGAGAGCCTGGGGCTCTGTGGGTTTGAGCAGTCTATAATTGTAACTAAACTTAACATCATCTTTCCCAAAGATAGGATACTTGTTGAGTGGTCTATAACTAGAACACTATTTAATGTTGAAGAATGGAAGAAGAACAGCACTAAAAAAGAACAAAAGAGAAGCAGAAAAATAAGAGAAGAAGCAGAGAAGAGAATGGGTGAAAAGGGGAGCAGAAATGATCCTGCGGCCCCAACCATTGGTATTTTTTAGGAGACAATAAAATATTGTACAATGACCATGATAATAAAAGCAATACAAAAAAGACAAAAACAGGTGATATAAACAGAAAATAAACTGTCAACTGCATCTCTACAAGCATCTAGTGATCCATCAACCATAGGGACTTTACCATGGCCAAAAAGTAAATTTTTGGAATGTAACTAAGAAATTTATTTGAAGAACCAAAGCTAACAATTCAAAGGGGGGATGTGGAAACATGATATGTAAGGGAAGGATTAGCTATCTAAGTAAAGGAAAGAGAACAATTTAATAGTAACTTAGTAAGAGTAAAATCACTTGACAAAAAAGACTTTAAAGTGGCAGCTATACCTTGCAATCTTATTGGTCTCAGATGACAATTTAGCTTCCAACATTTGTCATGAGAAAACTAGTATTTTATGGCAACAGGTCAGTTCACTTTATCTAATACCTTAGCCAAAGCTCTATGGTGTTATTTTGCCTGGTCTTTGCAGAGACCATGGCAGCATGCCTAGAACAATAAGATTGAAGAATGGTCAGCTTGCAAGTCTCTTTCCCTTGCACCAATGCCCATGCTTGAGGAAAACTCAATGCATCCCAATTAAGAATATGTTGCATGGTGAGTTCAAACAAGGCAAGAATTCAAAAAATCCTAATCTTCTAGGTTTATAACTAAACTATTTGGTCCAAATTAGTTTGTACACAAGAAAACATGCCCTGATTTAGATTAAACCACTTCCCTTCTCAGCTGATACACTTAAGATATATTCTGGGCTTGAGAGTACATTTCAGCAACCCTATACCAAAACTCTTGTATAATAGAGAGAAATATGTAATTCCTAGCTATATGAATCTGCATACAACTGACAAACTATGACATTACCATAAGATTCACTTCTTCCTGCTTAAACCATCATAACTGTAAGAAACTTCACATTAATACTTTCATTTGGTTCCAAACTCCCATATGAACAAAACAAAGTCAACCCCCATTTATCAAACCATCAACTAGGAGGGATATCAATGGGTTAAGCACACAGCAAATACTAACGTACATGCATGATGTTAATACACTTAGCCAGGTTACAAATTCAACATTTCTCGATTTGATGGAAATTAATTATAACACAAAAATGAAATAGCTAGAATTCTAATGTTTGCTAACACAATGCAAGCAATCTGTGAGTTCAAAAAATAATCACATAATTGCAACTTGCAATGTACAAAAATGCAAAGGCATGAGGCAAGATGCTATGAAACAAAGGACCTATAAACTGTAGCTTTAGGAGAGTTTATTGGATCAACCACAGAACTGCAATTTGACCAATTCATCAGTTTCTCCTTGAACAGATAAAATTTTCGAGAACCAAAACAGTAGGTCTTGGAATGGATGTATGGGGAAATAAATATGAACAAGTTCTATTTAGTTTAGCCACAAAGGGATGAAAAGCTTCATTGGTGAAAGAAAACCCAAATTTCAATTTTGGATTAGAAACTTAATAGGGTAAATTCTAATGCAGAATGATGAGGGACGACTAAATTTGAGTAGGATTTCAATTGATCTTGAAGAAAAAGAAGGAAATCGAAAAAGAGTAGGGAGAAAGTCACTTGGATAATATGGAGGAACCCAAGTGATTTAACCTTTGATGAAAGTGAGAAGAGATGCTAAACAAAAAGATCTTGATTCAAATTATTAATTTAAATCAACAACCTTATGCCAAAGCCTCTCTCTCTCTAAAGGCCATCTCCATAGCCATTTAACATTCTTTTTCCCCATTTTGCCTACCCCCAACCCCCTTGCTCCTTACTTCTACATACTACATCCCATCTCACCAAGTGATCTTTTCTTCCTTCACCAAGTTCCCATAAGAACCCCCTCATGATCTTCTCTACTTTCAGCACCCCCCTTGTAGCATCTTAAAGACCGAGAGGAAGAAAACTAGAAGATTTGCTAAAGTATACTTAATCGGAGTAAATGCGACCCCCTAGAGACACATAATTCCTCTTCCAATGTGATAATTTATTAGCATATCTTTCAAGAATTGGGCTCCAAAAGCTTCCATCCCATGGGTTGGCTCCTAAAGGCATACCTAGATATTTCAATGGCCAACTAGTGGTAGGACAACCTATGGCTTCTGCAACCCAACCAACTCCTCCCCCACGCTCAACCCCACTCACTACACAGCTCCTTTCAAAATTGATCTTCAATTTAGATACAAATTCAAACAATTTTATCACCTACTTCAAATTACATGTTGATGTAGGACCAGCTCAGTTCTAATCCTTAGAGATGTTGAATGGTTTTCTTTGATTAGAATTTTATGGCTGTTGATGGCTGTAATGGCTTCTTGAAGAAATAAGAGAGAAAATAGGGAGAGAAAGAGAGACAAAATACCTGGAATCATTCACAAGGTGCCTAGAATCACTCTAGGGCATGGGAATCACTCACCCTAGTTAGCATAAGCTGAAGAAAACTCAATAAACTTCATTGCTCTTTGTGTAAAACGTCCATATATATTTATAGACTCTAAACTCATAATAATCCTAGGAGTCAAACTGTTAGATTCACAATAGTCCCAGGAGTCAAACTGTTAGACTCAATAATCCTAGGACTCAAACTAAGCTGTCATATCCTATTTCAATTCAAAGAAGACTTAATAACTCTAATCCTACTTATGCAATGACTCCAAAATATTAAACATAAACAAACTATAAAAAGATAATCAAATCCTATTATTGAACCCTACAGAAAATTTGTAAAATGGAAAAAATATCCCTGGTGTCCAAAAATACAAAAATACATAAAACTTCACAAAATTCAACTTTTTTACTCTTCAGCTCCTATATCACATGCCTTCTGAGGATTATAGCACTCTCACAAAAAATAATTGTATCATCAGCAGACTGCAAATGTATAACAACCGTGGTCTCTCCTCCAACCCTCCAACTTTTAAAAAGTCCCAACCCCTCATGAAAAAAGACTTGGTTGAAAACTTACTGGCATCAGGGTGAAGCTTCCAAATTCATTGGTCTGGGTTTGAAGGAGAAAGATAAACCTCTCTTAAGGAATGTAGCAAATCTGGGATTTTAGCAATCTGTACATCCCTTAAAGGTCTTCTTAAGCATAGGCTCCAAGCTGTTGCAGGGAGACAAGAAGCAACCGTGGATTCTTGGGTTTTGGAAAGATTAAATAAACGGGGGTAAGAGGTAGTGAATATCTCTGTCAAAGTTCAATGCACAGCTATTGTAACACACTAACACCTACAGCTTACATCTTTATTTTGAAACAGAGATACAAACTATACGCAAATGTGTATATGATTCATAGTAAAGACAATGTGCAGGGTTGAAAATCATGTAATCAAGCAATAAAAGGAAGATAAACGAGAAAAAGAGGCTAAGGTACTACTTCTAGGTACTATGGTTTGTGATGCTTGATAGATCTCCACTGAGACAACATTCACCGATATTACATGGAAGCATTACTATAAAGTGTAAAAATAGTGCACCATCTTAATATATGTTATTTAAAATTACCTCATATAGTATCTTCACATGTTCCCGGAAGAGCTTTTCTGCATCCCCTGAATCTAAAACAGAGTTAGTGGCACGCCCTTGGGGATCCTTCTCCAATCTAGGCCTCGATTCAGTCCAAGATACCTAACAATGCAAGTGAAAACAACTAATAAGTATTTATATAGATGTACACAAATCCAACTGTGACCATGGTTGAATCATGCGGGCCATCAACAACATCCTTCACAGGTCCAACCAAACCCCGACTCTCAAGTCAACAAATCAATCACCATATTGAATGAACAAATCTTGAATTAATTGTCCGGAAATTGGAAACTAGCACACAAACAACAGAAGAGGAACATCTATTGTAGTAATCAATAAAAGTAGATCAAGAGCAGGCAAATCAGTTATCAATAGCAGTCAGCAAGAGAGAACAAATAGAAGAAGCCTTTATAATCTTCTAAAACCCTACAAATCAATAACATTAACTACTTGAACTACCGCTGAGTGTTGGACAGTTATAAAACAAATCAGAATGAACAAATCATACTCCCAAATTCCAAGAATTGGGTTTCCTGATTTGGTTTGAGTAGTTAAAGATTACTTATTTATTTGTTGTCTTGTTTATTTTTGTATGTTTAAGCAGTAGTAGACTTTCTTGATAACAGCAGCAAATAAAGATTAAGAAGACTGGTCATGGGTTCTTGCTTCTCCCCACATAGGCTGCAGAACGAAGTAATGATAATAACTAATTAGCAAGCTGGCCAAAGACCCAACAGACAACAGTAAAAGAATAAAAGCCCACCAAAAACAAGACATAAAAAATAGCAACAGTAAGAAATAAATTGAACCCAATAAGAAAGAAACAAGTTTGTGGATAATGGATCTAAACACTCCACCTCAATCTGAGAATAGATGTTCAAAAATTTGCAGCTTGCCAAACATATTATGCAGCTGCAAGCCTAGCACACCTTTGGTAAACACATCCGCCACCTGCTGATCTGTCTTCATATAAGGATGACATCTCTCTCTAGAAATAGCGCATTCACGAATAAAACGATGATCCACCTCAATATATTTAAGCAATGTTGATGGCTGCTTGCTTATCATAATACAACACAAGTAATGATAAAAGCCTCATGCCCTGTCTTTGCACTAGAATGAGCAACAACAAACTGCTCCTTGCTCTTCCAAGAGACAAGATTTCCTCTAACAAAAGCACAGAAGGGACCCTGCCCAATCTGCATCCGTAAACACCTCCACCTTCATCTCATAAAGTAAACAACAAATAATGTATAGCTGATAGATGAGTGGGTACGATGAGCATCCCTACACTAACTGACCATACTCAAAAGAGTAGACAATGTCAAGACAGATCCTTGTAATGATCTATACTTCCACCAGCTTTGTACGTTACAGTAAAAACTCACCTGCAGACAATAGGAGTCTTCTGTTTGGAACCCCTACTATATCCCAACTATCATTATTCAATAATGGATCCATCTCATTCTACATAGCAAATCTCCACTCAGGCTATGCTAGTGCTTCAGTTACATTCATTGGAAAGAAACATAGGAAATGAAGGAAAGAATACACTTATACCTAGAAGATAATAATAATAGGAAATAAACTAGGAGATGCCATGAACAGTAGAAGTGTGATTCTTACCCTTCCTAACGACAACGGGACAATCTACATTTGATTTGCATGGAGGCAAGTGTTATCATCCAAGATCAGTATCGTCAAAGGAGATGTCAACTAAGGCACATGAGCAACAATCTTTCTTCTTTTCTAGTACATCTAGAGCTGCTTATCTAGGCTATCACCTATAGCAGTACACAACATATTTCTATTTCCACTTCCATGGGTAGCGACATGAAATTTTATTAGAATCGACATATTGCCCAATGAACACTACCAGTACTATGTGGTATCCAAGAGATAGTATTATAAGTTTACAACATAAGTTGGTGACAATCAGTGTTTTAAAAGGCCTGGGAGGCGTATGCCTGGAGGCGCGAGGTTTCTCCCCCGCTCCCTTTTCGACAAGACCCCCCTTTCAACTACTGTTATGCATCTCTATTCTTCTTTATATAAAAGACTTTTATTAAAAATAAAGAAACAAATTAGATCCCCCCCCTCTTAAGGAGGCTTACGCCTCCTTGTGTTCGGGAGGCTTATGCCTCACACCTCTAGGTAGTGGAACGTCTCATGTCACGCCTCCATGTTTTAAAACATTGGTGACAATATTATAGATATGTGAATTGTGAAGTAACAATGTTATTGTCAGCCTAACTTAAATGATTACCACTTTGAGCTAGCTCAATATTCATTTCAAACATGAAGTTAAATATTAGTTTTTTGTTTGTGTAATAGATTATTTGATTGATCTATTACAACTATTTACATTTTCTTTGAGTTAAAATTGTTCTTTAACTCATTCTATCATGAAGCTCTAAATCTTAAGGTTAATATGTTAACTTAAGAACATATTCATTTGTCTATAACCTTAGTTTCTTAGTTTGTTTAATGATTAAGAACAAGATAATATTTAAAAAGGTGTGCATATGCTTCTTTTACCGTATCATAAATATCATTCTATATTTTGCATATTTTACAATGTTTCCACCATGTCTATAATTTTTACAACATTTCCAACATGTTTCTTATATTTGGATGACTGACATTTCCATCGACATCAACATTTTAAACCTTGAGAATAGGAGGCCGACTTGCACTCTTTTCGCCACAACCGTCCCCCTATGATTAGGGATGCAAATGGATTGGAACTTGGATTCAGGTATATTCAATTCAATATTATAAGAAAATTTCCAGATTCGAACTCAATAAGGATCAGGCAGAATTTTCATATTAAGATTCTCTTCTGATTCGTTAATGTTATCGGAATTGTTTTAAAAGCGCAAGGTGCAAGGGCCAAATTGCACCTGAGGCAAGAGGCACAAGACGCGCGCCCTTTTGAAGCAAGGCACAAAAATACAAAAAATTGCTAAAAACATTTTAGAAATTTCAAAAAAAAATGCAAAAAAAATATTAAACATAATATTAGTAAGAAATATAAACCTAAAATTCTAAAATTAATGGTCTAAAACACCTATTATCTAAAACTAAAATACATAACATAACATGTAAAGCATATTCAAATGAAAATTTAAAAATAAAATCAAACATATAAAACATTTTCAACCATGCAAAGCCCACAATCTCTTTTTCTCCTCAATTACATTACTTCAAGTAGCTAATGTGATGCAAAACAAAATAACATATTGCATTCCTGATTCTACGAGTCGCCATTGTGCCACACCCCTCGAGGCAAGCCCAAACAAGTCCATATAACATATTACATTAACCGCCTTTGTGCCACGCCCCTCTAGGCACACCAGGCTTGTGCCTTTTAAAAGTGTTGTGCTTGGGGCCTAGGCAAGGTGCCTACCCTAAAACACGCTTCACCTGTGCACCTAGGCGCCTACCCTAAAGTGAGATACTAATCCAAATCGAATTCAATCTAAAAAGCATAAAAAGGTACACCATAAAACCAATGATCAAGCAAATACAACATACAACTACAAGATTAGAACTCAATCAACCCATACTTTTTTAACTTTTGTGTTCACATGTGGAGAAACAATGAAAGGAATAAGGGGACCAAGAGTGTCATTGGATTGGTTAGGGATTTGGAGAGAAATCCAAGAAACCAAGGGAAGAAAAATCATTTCAAATACACAATGAGAGTAAATACAAACCCCAAACAGATTGAGTAGAGAATTTAAATAAGAAAATACTTGATTACTAACTTGACTATTAGGGGTTCCACATACAATAGTAATTAGCACTGTAATTACAAGTTTCGAGTTCCTTGTCGTTCGGTTTTCCAAGTTTCAGCTTCCATGCCCAATCTTTTTTTTTTTTTTTTTTTACTTTTTTTACACAACGAGGGGGTAGCCCATCCCCCCAAACTAGGTGCAGGTGGGATTCAATCCCAAGTCTCCGCTACAACTAGCAAGAGACCTACCAACCAGCTGGTTGGCACCTTGCCTTCTACGCCCAATCTAACTCATTAGTTAAAGAGAAGGGAATGAAAATAGAAACTTAGATTTTTTTATATTCATAAAAGTCATATAATACATAATGTTGTAAATAGATCAGATCGTATTGGATCTTAAAGAATCAAGTTTTGTGATCCAATCTGACTCACTTTTAATTAAAGGATATCAGAATCCAACATTAAACCAATCAGAATTGGAATTTGAATCGGATCAAATTGAACTCATTTGCAGCCCTACCTATGATGGGGACTCAATTACAGCCCTACTTGGGGTCAAACTTGGACCTATGAAGACTCATAACATGAACAAAGCAAGTGTAGAAATAAACCCGTAAACAAGTCAAAATCCCCTCATGAATTTTTATAAATACCACCTGATTGGTTACCACTTTCAAGATACTGGTTCATTGGTTTTAAATTTTTCTGGTATCGTGTATTTCCAGTGTCATAGTCAAACTGAAACACTAAATGGAGTTTTAAGACCAAGAACATAAGAAGGAACCCTATTAACAAGAAACACAGCAGTTTTGATAGCATCACCCGAAAAAATGAATGGGAAAATTGCTACTAAACATGATTCCTAGAAACTTCAAGAATCTGTCCATTCTTGCATTTTGATATTCCATATACCCATCAGATATGATGTAGGATGCTTCTCAAAATACTCTTTAGTATTATCATATCTAAAAAGTTAACTCTCACACCAAATTGCGCCAAGACCATTTGGTGAAACTGTCAAACTAGAGCGGAAACCTCAGCTTTTGGAACACATCAAATAAACCCAAGAGAACAGAGTAATATAATATTATAAAGAGACTGGGCCGAATGGGCCCTAACATCCTCTCTTGTAATATCTTTTATTTTATTGTTGATGGGCCACACTTAATGGGCTTGTTATTTATTCTTGTTTTATTCTCTTTATGTAACCGCCAAGCTGGCCGCCCACTTAAGGGCATTCTTGTCATCATCTAATTTTTAGATCTTAAAAATAGGGTTAGAGGAGAATGGAGATTAATTCGACTCCTTGTTCTCTTACCTTCTCTTTTCGCCATCTTCTTTTCCTGTATAGCTGTTCATA